AAAGCCTGTTCATGATGTTAGTTTGATTGGGATGCCTATTATCAGGCCATAGAGAGTATCATATTTCTTTCACATATTTTAATTTCAAGTGGAACATTTTAAACTGTTGCATACTCACTACAGTACCACCTTGCTATCTTATACTAGCTCAAAGTAGATGGATATGTGCATTTGACAGCAAGTATATATATGATTTGCTTACGCATAGAACAAGGAAAATCTAGTAGGGTTAGAGGATACAAAAATAAAGGACGTACAAAAGAAAGATGAAAGTATACCCAACAAAACAAAGTAGTTTATTTTCAAAAATCTGATGTTAATAAGCTAAACAAATGAACAGCCAGAAGATGTAGATGACGCTAACTGCACTGACACAAATTGTACTACGTTATAACAGTGCAATATTAAACAGCACTATTTACATGCATATTTACAACTTGTGTTATCTTTACATAGATTTTTTTTTTTACTTCTTGGGAAGTTCTTACATTTGATTTTAAAATGCCATGAACTGAGCAAAAATGTTCAAATTGCTCAAATACCTCGCCCATTTGAAAACAGTCCTTGTTCGGTTGCACATTTTCAAAAAATTTCTGGGAGGAACGGGGGGATTGCTTACAATGTTCATTTTAAAAAAAGGTTGGCTAACTGATCTAGGAGCCTAAAAGTATGGGATGAAAGCTATGCTCTGTACAAAGGAGAGGCAATACAAATACATACGAAAAAGCAAGTCAAAATGTACTTTATGATTCAAGGGATTTTAATCTCAAAAAAAGAAGTGTGGCTGTTTAATAAGACAACCCTCATATGTATATTAATGTGACATTTCAAATAAAATTTGTTCCAGGCAAAACATTGTTTATTTAACTGTACATAAAATAAACTATGATATATACATATTGTTTAAGTTACAGGGTTTTAAGTTTACACTTTTTTGGCAGATTCTGTTTAACAAAATTAATATTGCATAAGTTGCGTACTTTGAGAAACTTAATTTCCTTTGTTTGGTATGGATATGACAAGACCTTTCCATCCTCGCTACTTGCTATTCATACCTATGCTGGTTGCTTAAAACAATCGGTGTGCATGGTCTCATTGTTTTCTTTTGCGCTCTGATTCTAAACAAAATTTCTCATAGGCTTCTTCGATTTCTGGGTCCATCTCATCATCGTCATCATCATCATCAAAATACCTATGAAAGAAATCCAATTGTTAAAGTCATTTGTACGTTTTGGTAGAATATCACAGTCCAATGCATAGATGTAGCCTTCAAAATGACCAGAAAGTGGCAGTGCAGATTTGGAACAACAGCATCCTGTACTACTAAATAACATCTGTCCAGGTAAAATATTACAAAAGTTACCACCAGATGTCCCACATAAATGCTCAGAAGGATCCTGTGCACCAATTTTTCACCAATTTTTCAGTTCAATGTGTTGCAGTAGCTGGAGTGTTTTTTTTTTTAAAAGGGTTTTTTTTAACCCCCCTGGCTTTGTTGTTCCCAATGGGGACCAAATGTGGCTTACGTTGTTCTCCTCTCCTAAGAAGAGAGCTGCAAAACATGAAGAGTACTTTTTTAATTACCAAGGGAAGTTTACAATGGCGACATTTTGAGGGAAGCATGCAAACCTGGGTGTCCTAAATTCGTTTCTGAATTACGTAACTACAATTGAGGGAGTGTGCAGAGTGAGTGTAGCCTGTACACCCAAAATCCTCAAAAGGTCAAAATCTCTGACATTGTTGGATAGTCATGTTTCCATAGATGGCTGGTTGATCATCTAATAAAAAGGAGTCTCCCAAATATTATCTGGTGGGGAAACCTGCTTAGTTGGACCTAGCACTGACATGGACAGTGAGCCAGCTACAATCCCCAAGGGATAGTATGACAATTAAGAAATAAAGAAATTAAGATTGCTGGGAAAAACATCAACAACCTCAGATATGCAGATGATACCACTCTAATGGCAGAAAGTGAAGAGGACCTAAAGAGACTCTTGCTAAGGGTGAAAGAGGAGAGCGCAAAAGTTGCCTTGAAACTCAATATCCAAAAAACTAAGATCATGGCATCTGGCCCCATCACTCCTTGGCAAATAGAAGGGGAAGTCATGGAAGCAGTGACAGACTTCATATTCCTGGGATCCAAGACGCCTGCTCCTGGGGAGGAAAGTGATGGCAAACCTAGACAGCATAATAAAAGTAGAGACATCACCCTACCAACAAAAGTCCATGCTAACTCTTGGTAGAGATAAGACCAAAGGCAGGCAGAATGCAACTCTGCCAGTCATTGCACCCAGGCTGTGCAATGGTTTGTCTCAGAAGGGCACTTTCTGTTTTTGCAGCTTTTAGACCTTTTGATGCATTCTGGTTTTATTAAATCATATCCAACCCCCCCCCCCCCCCCACTCTTGTTTCTGGGGGAGAAGGGATCCCCAGGAACAGGATTGGGGGGGGGGGGCATTTTCAGCTGCCGTAGGAGACAGAAGACTAGAAAATCACAGTTTGGATCCAAGCCCATGTTCAAAAGGTGTCATTTCTCCACTTTCCTCTACATTGCTACAACTTGTTCTAACCCCAGAAAAACTAAGTCCCAGTGTTGCAGGACTCACATAAAGGAAGGGGAGCAAACCGGGCGGGCGGGGGCGCTGCAGCAAGGAAGAACAAAGAGTTGAAATTATTCTTTCTTCCTCTACAAGGATAACTCTGCTGAGGGGAGGGGGCAATTTCATGTCATGTACCTCCTTGCTTGGGGAGGGGGTTATAAATAGGTTATAAAATTATGCATGCGGTGGAGAAAGTCCTTAATGAACATTTTAAATTGTGGTCTTTTGTACATTTTTTAGGATTGTTGTTTTCATGACATTGTAAGCTGCCTTGAGTTCTGCATGGTAGAAAGGGGGCTAATAAACGTTTTAATTTAATAAAAATATTTTAATTTAATAAAATGGATAGATGGAGCTTTTTATCCTTCTCCCATAATACTAGAACTCGGGGACACTCAAGGAAGTTGATGGGCAACAGCTACAGGACAGACAAAAGCAAATACTTCTTTACTCAGTAATTAAATTGTGGAATTCATTGCCATTGGAGGTAGTGATGGCCACAGGTACAGATGGATTTAAAAGGGTGTTAGAGTCATGGAGGGTAGGTCTATCAGCTGAGAACCAGGGTGGTATAGCAGTTAAAATGTCATACTAGGATCTCGGAAATCCAGGTTCAAATCCCCACTCGTGCCATTGGAGCTTCCTGGGTGATCCTGGGCCAATCACACACGCTCAGCCTAGCCTACCTTAGAGGGTTGTTGTGAGGATAAAACAGATGAGAGGAGAATGATGTAAGCCACTTTGGTTCCCGATTGGGGTGAAAGGCAGGATATAAACATAGTGAACAAATAAAATGGTCAATAAAAGGGAACCCCCATATTCAGATGCAGTAAACCTCTGAAACCCAGGACTTGGAGGCAGCATCAGGGGAAGGCCTTGGTCCCTCTGCTCTGTTTGCTGGCCTGGCTGCTGTGTGAACCAGGATGTTGGACTAGCTGGACCACTAGTCTGAGCTCTTTTTATGTTCCTGCCCACTGATCTTCGTGGATATTTCTCCACATGAATCCTGCAACACTTGGGATGATCACTCTGAGGGACAGAGGGAAGTGTAGCAAAGCAGACTAATTGCAAGAAAACTCCATATGCCTTCCTGAGCACAGACTGAAGACTACTGATCATTATGACATATACGGAAATGTCCCCCTGTTTGACACCCTCGCTATTACTGCACAGAGGAAAGATGGGGCATAAATGCCTTAAATAACAAAACAGGAATACAGGATGTTTTGCCCAGACAGGTTAATATTTGCAAAGTTTCAAGAGTGTTTTTGGTTGTAAAGCTATTTTCAGGCATTATCAGTATTTGGGAGAACAAATGGCTGGCTGACATGTCTCCCAAGTACATATAGTACCAGGCCGAATAAGGACGTAAAAGCCAGAAGCAATCATGATCAGAACCTGTGCCAACTGGGTGCTTGCCAGACAAAAGAGAATTCATCCAGGATCTGCTCAGAGATCCTTATTCGTGCCGCAGGACTGCAAGTCTGCCTAGACTGGACTGGCAGAATAAGCTTTTGGTCAACAGAGCAAAGGTTTGGAAAACCATACAATGACAGGAAAATAAGGAAATTAGATTTTTTAAAAACCTGCGTGCAAATATAGGGAGAAATGACCTAATCTGGCCACCTAGTCCTAAATATACATTTGATTATCTGTGAAACAGGAGTCTACAAGAAATTGGGCTCACACAGATTCATATACAGTTGAACAGGTTGCTTGAATATGGGATGAAGAACACATTGGGACCTCAAAAGAAGAATGGATTTGGTTGAGCTATGTTGACTATTAAACTTCTGGCTAAAATAGGCCCTTTCTATCACAGGAACGTCTAAGTAGTTCAAGGAAGAGGAGTAGCCAAGTTAGTCCCTTTTAAGGTAGCACAAAAAGCATCCTTTAACTTTTTGTTTTCATTAAATCGAAGTAATGATGTATGCACCCAGAAGTCTGTTTAAACCAATAACTTACGGATCTCCAGCTCCTGATAAATCAGCTCCATTTTCTGCATACTCTTGAAACAGATCTTGTCTGTCAAGGAGCTCTTGATATTTCTCTTGATAATCTACAGTAAAGTTAGTCAGTTATACTTTCAAAATTAATCTGCAGATTCTCAAGCTTAGTTGTTGCAGGCGTAACAAAAATACCCTTTAATAAGCAATATCCAAATAACATTGAATGCATTTCAATAACTGAGAACAATCAGTGCAAATTTTGAAATATGCTGGCGCCATTCAGAAAGGCTCTTTAGGCATATCCCTTTGCTGCATTCCATTTCAAAACTGGACTTACGATATACTTAGTTTTCCCCCAGTTGCTTTCCCCTAAAATAATGCTGAATATATACTAATACAAGTCACTTAACCCAATTTAACAGGTACGTTATATCAAAAAGACAGAGGTAGAATTGTAATTCAAATCTGTGAAGGATTTAAAATTACAGCTCATATAACAGAAGCTTCTTTTCCATATTTATTACTCATCACCAGCTCAGGCTATACCAGAAACTCACTCCAGTGTGGAAGATGCAGACATTGAAGATAACTTATACATTACTTGGGGAGAGCTTCTTTGTCATCTGAGGTCATTTAATTTCTCTATGACTACTTTGCTGTTAGGGTATACTAGCAGGGGACCTACCCCCCTCCCTTGCCTTTAATGACAGACACTAAGCCTTAAAGGCTGGTAACGTTGTTGTTGCCTAGAAATCCCAACAGCCACTGTACAGGGCACTAGGTTTTTAAAGGTACTGATGCTGCTTCTATTATTTTGGGGGTGTTTAAACCCCCCCCCCATAGTGTTTTGTTTTTTAATTTCAGGTTTTTCTGTAAACCCTGGGCTTTCCTCTGGTTTGTAGCAAGATGCCCATGGCTCCAAGTCTCTGGATTTAAGAATTTACAGATACAGCCAAGCGTTAGATATAGATACAGCCAAGCGTTAGATATATTGATTTCTATATTCTGGTATCCTCACGTTAGCAAGAACAAACTAGTATTCCATCATCATAAAAATAAGATACGCTCACTGACCCTCATCCGAGAGGGGGCTCATATCCCTGGCAAGTCCTTCTCCCCAGGCTACATGTACATTCCTTCCCTCTTGCAGCTTCTCCACTTCCCACCTACTTTAGCTTGCCCCTATCATCTCCAGAGACGTGAAGGCCCAAAAACAAACTGGAAAAATTCAGGGGGGAAATGCTTCCTCCATTTTTCCACAAAAGCCCCCCCCCCCAATTTTTCCAATGAAAAAATTTCCAGCAGTGAAAGCTGACAATTTAAGTAAGTTTTGCTATTTAAATGAGGCTAGAATCCTTTCACACTGTTTGTCTTTTCTGAATTCTCATCTATGGCATGCAATTTATTGAAGCCTTTATTATTCTTTTAAACTACCACATCTCCTGTAAGGACTTGATTTTTCCCAATGTACTTCCAGGGTTCTTCAACGAAATCTTTAATTAATGGTAAAGATATGCTAGCAAAATGTAAAAAACCCAATTATTCAACTTGCGAGTAACTCTGTTACCAAATTTACCTTCGCTAACATTAAACTTGATTAGCTACTCAAATTTGCAGCTAAAATCTCCTCCCACCGCCAAAATTGAAACTGTTGATGTACCTGGATCTGCTGCAGTGAAAGGCACACCTTCAGATGTGTAAAATGTGGGTTCATTCTAAAATTAAAATACAAGTATTACTGATAAATGTAACTAGTACTTTCAGCAATCAAATAAATCTATCTGAAAGAAAACTGCAAGATGAATTACCATGAAGTAGTTAGGGTCATTTTCTGGAGTCGCTTCCCTATATGTTGAAGTTATATGCACCCTTCCCCAATTGCTTGACCGCAGTTCAACAAGTTTCAGAAGCATATGTTTTACATCTCTGTAACAGATACACCAAATAAAAATCACTACATCCCCAACACTAGAAGTAAGTTTCTCATGTTGCTTACAATCAGTAAAACACTCCTTATAAACTCTGGTGAGTCACTGAAGACTGCTTATGAATTTAATTTGAAACTCTACCTGAAATGCTTTTGGTGAGTCATTCAAGGCTTAATTGTCTTGATTTATTAAATCAATCTGGAAGCTCTACTAGTTCAAATGCAACTCTACAATCCTATGCAGAGTTCCTCCATCAATGAGCTTAGAGTAGAATTAACATTCATAGAATTGCACTGCAAAAATCTTAAATCAACTGATACAGCTTTGTAATGTTTATCAATAAAGACTGTTGAAGAGAAGGACATAGCTCTGAAGATCTGAGGTTTTGGGGCTAGTTAGGAACAGCTGTTTACTTTTATCTATCGTCCTTTTTCAAATTTATATTACGAATAATATATTAACACTGATGATAAACCTTCACCCAATATGAGATAAAAACACCTGGCCTTACCACTGTCATCTATCTCTGTGAAGGCCCAATTCCCAGCCCTGAATTTTGTCAGAAGGCTACAGGGAATGAAGACAGTTTGCCACCAGCAGGTAAACCATCACATCAAATTTTTACTGATTTAGTGTTTTGCTATTCTTGTACATTTCTTCTACACAATTTTAAGTATTACAACTATAAGGCAGTATAGGCATTTAAATATATTAACTGAATTATCCAGAAAAATTCTTACAAAATTTCAGGGGGAGAGGGAAGGAACTGGGGATCCCATCTACACATGAAGCTGCCTTACACTAAATTAGAGCATTGATGCATCAAGTCAGTATTGCCTATTCAGACTAGCAGCAGCTCTCAAAGGTCCCAGGATAAATGTCCTTCTTCCACATCACCTATCACTCAATCCTTTTAACTGGGACTCCCGAGGATTGAATCTGGGGGCTTCTGCGTGCCAAGTTCATATTCTATGTTTGAGCCACAGCCCTTCTCTCAACAAGCACTTGCATTAGGGTTTTGCAGTATGTACATTTATGGTGCCACTGGACTTTTGTTTTATTCAGCAACTTAATAACGGTACAAAGTATTTTAAGTGGCTGAGAGCCATATTACTTAAAAAACACAGGATATTTTGGCCTAAGTTGTGCTACCAATCCAAGATGACACTCCTCAAAGCCTTGCTTTATTTGACTACATAACTTTAAGAAATGGCAAGAAACTATCATTGTGCGTGAATACTTGAAAGCTTAGAAACAGTTTTTCTTAGTACCGGCTGCAATTGGCATCCAAGACAACATTTTCAATTTTCTGTATTATGTCATCCATGTAAGTCTTTCCTTTTTCTTTCCATGAGTCTTCCAGCACCGACCCTGTCAACTACAGAATGTATGCTATGAGTAAGGGCATTTCCAAAATGACTTTAGAATCAATAACATGTCTGCCATCAGTGGCTGTAAAATAAAGCAATTTCACAAGTACTTCGTGATTATCCCTTGCTAATATCCAGGGGTCATTTCGTAGAAAAAGAGGTGCAGAAGCTCATTTGCATATATGGCAGGCATGCAAGCATGCCTGGGTTTCCTGCCTGATTGTCTACAAATGCTTTTCTTTCCCTTCCCCAGTTGCGGGAAGGCATTTAACCCCCCCCCCCCACTTCCCTGGGTTTCTCCGCCAAAGCGGAGAGGCTCAGGGGGAAAAAAGGGGGCATGTCTGCCCGTCTGGGGAAGGGAAAGAAAGGCGTTTAAAACCCCCCCCCCCACTTCCATGAGTTTCTCCATAGCGGGCTGGCTGAAGTAGGCAAGGGAAGGCTGGGCAGGCAGACATGCCTGGGTTCCCGGCTCAATCTTCTCCAGGTGCCCCGTGGCTGCGTGGCACCTGGAGAAGATCGAGCAGGGAAGAAAGGCATTTAAATCCCCCCAGGTGGTGGTGGGGTTGCACCTGTGCTGTTTACTGCTGGAGCGCTGCTTTGGTGTGCTCCGGCAGGAAATTATCCCTGCAGATATCCCTCACTTTTATTGTGATAAGCTGAGAGACCTGGGCAGTAAATTTTTAGTAGACCATGCTGGAACTTTTAGCAGTGGCTCTATCATCCTAGCTCAAGAAAACTGGAAGCTGTTTAGTTATCCTTCTGATATTTAGTTAGGTACAAGTATAGCAGAAGATCTGCAGTTTTTCATGACATACACCTTACAAAGTGACTTATTATGGTCATAAAATAACATACACTATTGTTAGTGGGCACTAATGAAATGTATTTCTTTTTATGATTAAATGTATTTTAAAGAGTCCCTCTGCCATTTCTTGATTTTAAGTTACATATGACAGGAATAAACTTTTAGCCGGGCTTAGCTTGACCTTTTACCATCTAAGGAAAACAAATTATGCAATACTTCTCTAAAGAAGTGATAAAACTAAGCTCCTCTTTGGATAGGCCACTGCAATTAGATAACTGGGCACATGACGCTACTTTATATTGAGTCAAACCATTGGCCTATTAAAGTCAGTATTGTCTACAATGACTGGCTTTGGCTTTTGGAGCCCTCAGGGCAGAAGTCTTTCACATCACATACAACTTTGTCCTTTTAAATGGAGAGACTAGGAATTGAACCTTGGACCTTCTGCATGTAAGTCAGATGCTCTATTACTGAATCATGACCCAGTCTCCATAACTGAAATAATTTGTATTAAAGTAAGCAACCCTCCACCACAAAATAATTTTATTTTAATTAGTGGTAGATATACTCATCTCCTCCCCCCCAGCCCTGCTAGATTAAGTGATCCTGTTCAATAGATTAAACTGATTCAATACAGTGTGATGAATCACAGGAATAGTTCGCCATTTACCACCCTTCCTATAAGAAGCTCAAGACAACATACATGGGATCATCCCATTTTATTCTCACAATTCCATTCAAAAGCAGATTAGTCAGAGATCATGACACAGTATAGACTAGGGGTAGCATGACCCGAACCATGAAACAAAATTCATCATTAAATTTGCCCTGTTTGTGGCATGCTACTTAAGTTTGTGTTGGGTTACAAACTTTTACAAACCTTTAAAGCAGTTTGTGGTGGTTTGTGGATAGAACAGAAAGCATGGGTTTAAAGCGACTGAGTCCCTTTAAACCTCTACTTTCTGTTCCCCACAAAAGCAGCTGAGTGGAAGGGATCACCTCCCTGCCACAGCTGTTTTTTGGGCTTTTTTTGTGCAGTTCCTATAAAGGACAAGCTACTCCCTGCCACAGCTTTTCCCCCAGGCTTTCTGCAAACCTCATTAAAAGAGACTGCAGTTCCTTTCAACAGGGTTAGCGGGGCCACGAACCAGTTCAGTTTGTGAATGAACCTCCCAGTTTGGTTTGTGGTTTGAATCACATTTTTCCGGTTTGTGCCTAACCCTAACCCTAGTGTAGACACAGAGCTTAAAGCAATGAGCAAAAATTTGAACACCCTCACCCCCCATGAGTCCAAGTCCACCACTCTTATCTGCTGTAGACACGGATATAAAAAGTGAATGTTAATAAAAATAATCTGAAACATTGGTAGAATTTTAAGATAAGAGTTCTTACATAAACGACACAATTAACATACAATTGTGCCTTATTTTTAAACAGGATACACACACATATATATGCATTATGTATTATCTATAATAGGATAATGGAAATGAGTGTTAATTGCTATATTAATGAGCTTTAAATATGCAGCTGTAAAATTGTAATGACTCTTTTTTTGCAATTGATTGAGGATGTGTTGTTTCAAAATGAAAAAATGTGACTCAACAGTGTATTGTAGTTTTTTTTCTGTAATAACATTATCTTTAAAAACAGTTCTTAAAAATGAGAAAAAGATGGAGAATAAACAATGAAAACATCATACTTTCAGTAGCTTTACTGCACAGGTCAAATTGTTGTCCATAGGATTAGAAAAAAGTGTGCTTAACAATTCATGAAGTCCAGTCTGAAGAATTTCTGCTCTTGTTAGCTGACCTTTAGTTCCTTTAATCTGTAAATATATACATATATTAAATCCAAATATTTACAAGCAATTAAACAAGCTCCTCCATTTCCTTAGACTATTCTTGTAAATTTGGAAGCACTGGATTAGGTCACCTTGACTTCAGAAAATGTTTAAAAATACTGCAGGTTACTAAACATGAATCTATAGATTACTCAATACAAGTCACACCTCCCTTGACACCACAACAGTAAGAAAATAAAATTAAAAAATGAAGTGTGCTATTACTGTATTTACTCAGTATATCATCTTGACCATTTAACTTATCCAATGAAAGAGTGAAGTTTTATAATCTAGGGAGATACTGCACTCAGACAAAGTTGTGGCAATTCAGGGATCTCCCTGGAATGCAATTCCTGATGATGCCTCATTATTGGAAAGAACTTCCCATTGTCAGCATTAATTAATTTAAATAAAAATAATAACAAAAATTCTACAAAGATTTGCAATTCACAGCAAGCAAGCTTTGTGGTCACTATCATTTGAATGGCAGTTAAAGGCTCAACCCCAAATGTGGTGTTTGACTAGGTAAATGTTTTTGGCATGTTTTATTTCTATTTCTCTCTCTTTTTCTCTGTGTTGCTACAGTTAAAAGTGGGGGCTGGATGAGTGATTGAAAGGTGTTATGATTGGATGGTAGCTACACCTTATGGGGTGGAGTTGACGGAATTAGTTTAGTGTGTATGAGAAAGGGAAGAAGAGAGCTGAGTAGAGATTGAATGAAGTGCTGTAGAGTGTGAGAAAAATCTGTGAGGAAATGTAACCCCTTGTGGCTAATTCTGTTTAAGGAACTTCAGAAAAGAAAGAAACTCTAATGCAGACCTTTAAGAGAAAACAAACGTTTTATTTTGAGTAAAGGATCCCCTTTTACCTCAGAGCCACTCCCACACACTGACCATTCTGTTATTCTCCCAATTATAATAAAGTCATCTTGTCCTTTGGGACCAACTAAGAATTCTGGTGAGAACCTTTGGTGGCAGTGAAGATTAAGTATGAAATGCCAAGGAAGGCAGGGAGGCGGCATAACATACATCATCTCAGAACACTAACTGAGAGGTGTCATTACTAGGGGTGTGCAAAAAACACACACAACAATTCGGCCCGATTCGGATTCGGCCGAATCAGACAGAATCAATTTTGGCCGGCATAAAGACTCCTGCATGTCAATTTTGGCAGAAGGATTAGGCCAGCCGAATGTCAGTTTCAGCCCCATTATATCCTATGGGCCGTTGAAGTCAATGGCGAAAACATAGGGTATATTCTGGGGGCTGGAGGGGAGGGGGTTTGAGGGAGAGGCTCCAAACTCGCAAGGTAGCTGCTGGAGCCTCTCCCCAAGATACCAACCAGGTTGGAAGAACATTGGACCAGGGGGTCCAATTCTACGGGCCCCCAAACAGGTTGCCCCTATCCCCTCCATTGTTCTCTATGGTGGGGAAAAAGTAACTTTTTTCCCACCATAGAGAACAATGGAGGGGATGGGGGCAACCTGTTTGGGGGCCCATAGAATTGGACCCCCTGGTTCAATGTTCCTGAAACATGGCAGGTTTCTTGGGGAGAGGCTCCAGCAGATACCCTGCGAGTTTGGAGCCTCTCCCTCAAACCCCCTCCCCTCCAGCCTCCAGAATATATCCTATGTTTTCGCCATTGACTTCAATGGCCCATAGGATATAATGGGGCGGAATTGCCGGCAAGCCGATTCAGATCAAAGAATCTGAATCGGCCTGCAGCAGCCTGAAAGGGGTCCGAATGGGCCATTTTCAGGGGTGCATTCGGTTCAGACGAACCGAATGCATATCCCTAGTCATTACAGGAGTTACATATAAGGGGATCTCAATAAGAAGCAAATAAATTGGTTCCATCAACAGGAAAACTTCTTTGTGTGTGTGTGTGGTGTGGGGGGTGTACAAAAATATTCCAGTCACCTATCTACATTGGATATAGTAAGTCCAGTCCATTCTGCAACACTGCACACTGCCTCTGTGTGCTATTACAAACACCTCTCAGTCGATATGCATGGAAAGATGAACTGCTGTCAAAGATTTTAAAAATATTAATACTTAGTACTAATGGTTAAAACACTTCCAAAAACAGGAGCATGTAACAATCCTTTTCTGTTTTAGTTTCCACTTTGAAAGGCTGCCTACCTGTGCAGTCTAGTAATTTTTCTACACAAAACTTTCAATAACCATTTTTTCAGTGCTCCCCCACCCCATTTTTCTGGGCCATCACATCACTTTGTATATGACAAGTATTTTTTAATTAAAATTAAATATTAATAAATAAAATTATGTAATAAATACTATACACTAGACACACCTTAGAAAAGTGCTGACTGTTTTACATTAACTTACAGTACATACTTAGTGCCTCCCATTCAACTAAAATTCCTGCTTCCACCCTGCAACTGCCCCACCAACACCATATTGGGAATAATATGAGGAACAACTTCTTTTACCTCTAGGTTTAGATAGAGTTCAGCTAAAAATAGCACAAATGCATGAAATCTTTTCCGTGCGGCTTCATCGCCTTTGGCGGCTTCATCTCTATTTTCATACTCTTTTCGACACCTAAAAAAAAAGACCCACTTGAATCAACCATTCCTTTTGCAACATTGATTAATTCTAGCTTTACACAAGACAATAGTGTGTTACAATGTGATCGTATGGGGTTACAGGCAAACTATATTAAAATGCAGGCAAACCGTGTATTAAAATGGGATGGTATATAAAGGAAATAGTTATGTACCCAACTAAACGGCATGGTTGCTGAAACAGCCCAGTGCATATGCAAGCGCTTTCCTATTTTCATGAGTGCCAGTGAAAGCATCACAATCCATATGAAACAAGGGATGGAATGCAGGGTTTTACTTAGAGAACTGAATTCAACTTTCTTCTCAGCTGTGAAGCTTACTTTTGGGTTGTCACCATTTCCTACACTACTCTACATCTAAATGACGATGAAGGTAAAATCTATTCCAGGGGTGTCAAACATAGGGCCCTGCAGGCTGGATCCGACCCCTGCAGTGCTGCTATCCAGCCCATGAGCAACTGGCTCTCTACTGCTTTGTGCTTCTTGTTCCTGCTTCCTGTTCCCTGCATCACAGCTCCTTTTGCCCAGCCTCTCCTATTTCCTGCTTTGCAGAGGAGAGAAAGAAAACCAAGCCTCCCTCCCCTCAGTTGGCTGAGGGCTCCTCCCTCTCCTCCTCTGGGGAAGGAGGGGGAAAGATAGAGCCAGAGAGAGAGAGATGGAGTCCCGTTGCACTTTTAAGAAGACCAACAACATTTTATTCCAGGTATAAGCTTTTGTGTGCCTGCACACTTCTTCAGAGAGAGAGGGAGGGAAGGAACGAACCAAAGAGAGCCTACCAGAGAGCGATAGGGAGAGATGGAGTCCCATGGCACTTGGAGAGATCCCCCTTTCCAGTTCTAACACATGGAGGGAAGGAAACCTAAGAGCACAGCTTGCAATCTTCATTAGTGAAAATTTGTGGCAAGGTATGAGCTTTTGTGAGTCACTGCTCACTTCTTCAGATACAGATAGAATGTGAGTCCACCTGTCCTTATATCTTGGAGAGTGAAGTGATTTCAGATGCCAACTGACAATAGCAGGCATCGGTAACGAGAGAAGAAACCTCGGGCTCAATTCAGACCAGGAGAACACATTGTCTTGAGTTTCATTATCAGTTGCAATTCAGCAGTCTCTCATTCTAACCTCTCTTTAAAATTCCTTTGTAAGAGAACTGCTACCCTTAGGTCAGCAACTGAATGTCCTGGAAGGTTAAAATGTTCCCCCACTGGTTTATGAATGCTGTGGTTTCTAATAGCAGTAGAAAGACTAAGAGTCCAGTAGCACTTTAAAGAGTAACAAAATTTGTGGCAGAGTATGTGCATTTGTGAGTCACTGCTCACTTCTTCAGACTTATTTCCATTGTGTGTGTGTGTGTGGGGGGGGTTCTTTGCATCCTCCTGGACAGAACCCTCTTATACCAAATCGAGATCTAGGATTCCTGTCTCATTACCAATGCTGATATCTCCACGCCTACTCCTCCTCTGCACATCACACCTAATCCAGTCAAGCCTGCTATTGCCATCTCAAATCATCTTTAGAAAGTTTATATCTCCGGTACCTCATGTTACATTTTATGGCATGCGTGGCCTGGCCCGACAAAGATCCAGCCCTCATAACAAATGAGTTCGACGCCTCTGATCTATACTGTCCTGAATTCTCCGGATTTGAATAAATAAGAACATGAGAAGATAAGAGAAGCCATAGCTACATATGTTTTCCAATCCCCTCTTGACGCTGTCTATACTTGTATCTGGCACCACTTCCTGCTGTCAGTTGTGCCTAGGCCTAAGTAAAAACTAGCAAGCAAGTAGCACACTTACACCACCTGCTATATTGAGGGGTAACAGGCTCACATTAATGTATCTAATACATCAGAAAGTACTATTTTATAGCACTAAAATAAGCAAAAAAGTTAATTAAAATGTTTAGCAGATGATAAGCACTGAATAAGAAAACAACCAATTTCAAGCAGGATAGTTTCTCCTCCCCATCCCCCAAAAAGGGTTAGGTACTGACCTGTGAAGCAGTAACTGTCTAAAGTTGCCACTTTGTGGATTAATGGTGAGATGATGAGAAAGATAATTGCACAGTCTTGCCCCCATATAGGAAAAATTTGGAACAGATGTAGCCTTCCAAACAAACAAGAAAACAGCCAGAATTAGAAAAGACAAAGTTTCTTGTGTAGTGATTTTTTTTGGTACTTGTTTGAAAGGCTCTCTCAACTAATCCATTTCAGTAATTTCACGTGAACAATCAGCCCAGTCATCTGAGGTCACTAGGAGACTACTCTGTTTCTCAGAGAACTCGTATCACCCTTCTAGTTTGGTTTCAAAGGAATAAACTATTTCCAGAAATCTGTGTATAACCACTGCATACTGCATCACAGGACCTGCCTACGAACACTAAAGTAATTAAGCCTTCAGAAGCTCACAAAAATGGCCTGTAGTTTCTTCAGAAGAAAAGTCATAATTTCTTTATATTAGCACATATTTCAATTTCATAATGTATCATTTTCTTGTACTCAATTTTTTTTGGAACAATTTTGGGGTTTAGAGAAGGTGACACTTTGGACTCTCTATTTCTCACCAGTTTGCTTTTGTAAACAGAGAGTTAGAAATGAGGCAAAGGAACAAGTCTGAAAATATATCCAGGAAATATAAATAAAATGTTCAAAAATCAGTTTAAAATATACCTATGGAACATATGAACAGTTTTCAAAATCAAGTGATTTACACATGATTCATCTAAGCTTTAACAACCTTGGTCCTTCAGCCAGAGATGCAAACAGCTGTCTGGCCCAAGAAAGAAACTCTAATGCAGATTTTTAAAAGGAATCTGAAAAGCTATACTAGTTATTTTCACTGTCCTTTAACAAGCAGCAATTAAAACCTCCACTGAACGAAAAGAAACTAAAAACAATTGACGTAACTCACAAAAGGCTATTGCATTGGGAACTCTGGTTGCTCTGCTGTCTCCAGTTCCCCTAATTGACAGAGTTCAAATGAAGGTCTCTATCCTTGTTTTTAAAGCTTCCAAGATTTTAAAACGTCCAGTAGAAAGAGATGTCCTTTTACAGTCCTCTATAGAAAATATTATCTAGTTGCACTTATGTAACACCAATGCAAGGAAAGGGGATAAGTGTAATGTAAGCAAATGATTTATTTTAAAGTTCATCTTTTGTTTTAAAAACTGCAGTCTTCTGCTTTGATCAGATGGATAAACGAGCACAAAGTAAGGGATTTCTGTGGTTTGAACTGAATTTCTCTATCCTCGTTTTTAAAGCTTCCAAGATTTTAAAACTTCCAGTAGAAAGAGATGTCCTTTTACAGTCCTCTATAGAAAATATTATCTAGTTGCACTTATGTAACACCAATGCAAGGAAAGGGGATAAGTGTAATGTAAGCAAATGATTTATTTTAAAGTTCATCTTTTGTTTTAAAAACTGCAGTCTTCTGCTTTGATCAGATGGATAAACGAGCACAAAGTAAGGGATTTCTGTGGTTTGAACTGAATTTTCCATTATTAAAAGTTTTTGATGCAGTTTCAGACCCTGTGTTTCAGACCCTCTTATTTCATTGCCAAAAGGACAAATATTGATTATGGCTGCAAAGTTTGCAGATCTTATGATCCATCCCTATATAATACTTAGTGGCAGTAAAAATGGATTACTGACACCACAGAACATTTTGTACCTTTGTTTCCTACATGTTTTGTTTCTGAAATATTTGTACTAAAACCTGAAATTCTCTATTTGCAAACAGGACTTTGTATAGAGAACACAGCATGTGCATTTCCTAATAGTCTCAGATTAAATTCACATATACTTTCAATAAAATTTAACAATAGGGGTATTGCATACACTTGGAACCAAGATTTTGCCTGTACTTTGTAATTTAATATTTTAGAAATCTCCCCAAAACATGACTGTTTTTGGATTAAAACATTTTTGTTTTTCCTTGTTTCCTACCACCTTATCATTATTTATATTAATATTAATAGTCCTTTTTAGAAAGAATTAACCAACCATAAATAATAAAAAGATACTGAATTACATCCAAGACTCCGTTCTGCTCAGTGAGGAGTCATGGTTGTAAAGAGACCGTGGATCCAACCTTTTCTACATACGAAACATCAAACGGGATTTTATCGCTTTTGCTTTGGACCAGTGCAACTACCTGCAATCTTTACTCCTCATTTGGTTTCTGTAACCAAGTTTTTTTAAAGTAAAAATTCAGCAAACCTACTATATATATATTTTTATTTTTTAGCAAACCTAGCAGGATATCACAGAACAAAGGTTTTCATTCTATACAACACAAGATCTTTCTTATCAAGCTTGAAAAGGAAGCTTAAAACTGGTAGTCAGAACTGAGAACATAACCACTTGGCTGTCTGGTACTGAAAGATGTACTCCTGCCTATTACTGTTTTCAAGCCACACAGCAAAGCTGTATTCTCAGTGTAAATAACGGCTCTCCAGATTCTCAGAACATTCTGATAAAAGCCTTTTAACACTTCAAATAACATACTTTCAGAAATTCCTTGTTTTATTGGCTATTGTGATACTGGCAGTCTATGCAAATATGGCTTGATAATAGTGTGCAGCTTGCATGTTGTATCACAGATGCTCAACCTACCTGTTGGTAAATGAGTTCAACAAGTTCCTGTAATGCTTCATCTGTGGTGACACAGCCATTTAAAGTTTCTGAAAAATGTGCTATTTCGTTTTCAAAACAGGCTGGCTGTTCTGCAAGGTGATTTAGAAAATCCTGCACGTATTCTGTTAAAGATGCATATCCATCGCAACCATCGTCTAAAGAAGATTCCTGAATGTAATTACAGACATAGTGACTCTTACTTATTAAAATGACCTCAACAAAATCTTTTTAGTTTCTGACAATGCAATGTTAAAAAAAAATGTAAAGGAGGTTTCACAGACGCACACCATATAGAAGTGTTCACAAACATCAAGTTTTATTTTACAACCTAATCAATAGTCCCGCTCTATTGTAGAGCTAACCCCCCCTTTAAAATCTCCCAAGGTACCTGGGGGGTGGATAACTATACAGCTGCCATATAACCAGGGCTTTTTTTCTGGAAAAAGAGGGGCCAGAACTCTTAAGAGGGAAATGAAGTTTTCAATCTGTATACTGAAAACTCATGAACCTTTAAACATTTAAAAAAGAATTTCGTTGAAGAGGTTCTGGAACCCCGTTCCGGTGCATTCCCCCAGAAAAAAGCCCTGCATATAACTATCAACAATATTGCTACAACTAGAGCAGCTGAATTAGCCTGAAGCTAGTCCATTTCCTTCACCACCAGCGGTAGAAGCACTGGCAATTGATGCAAAACTTCTAACTTGCAGTGTTCATTGTAAATAGAAGGAAGTCATGTCATTAATCAAGTAAGATTTTCAAGCTATTCCCAAAGCATGTTTTTAGAGCATGCGATATCCCAGCATAATTGAACTGCTTATTACAGGTTGCCCAGCTGAACTAGCGCAAGATTTACAAATAAAATATTTCAGACGTGTCGCAGTACTGGATTAACTGAAGAAAGTAGGGTTCTTCTTTTAAACACTTTAGTGTTTTAGGACCTCCACAGATGTACAGTTCACAACTCCTAGGAAAACGTTTGAGATGTAGCTTTCAGGATAAAAGCCATTTGATCCACAAAAAGACTGAGACTCCTGCAAGAAGACAAACAGGTGTTTCACTTGCTCAGAAAATGAACAGTGATGGTGCTAAATACTTACAGGCAAATTAGGGGAATATCCCGAAGGATAAAATTCAGGCGCATCCACCGACAGCTTTGACATTACTACTGGTGCCACAACCACCTGAGGCTTAGGAACTGCAGATAAAGAGCAATTTTTTTCTGGTAAAGATGCAGCTCTTGGGTACTCTGAAATGTTATTATAAACATAAATTAGGGGGGGGGGAGAATATTGTAACACAATATGCTTCAACTAAATAACAGTTAAAATCCATTTATCTTTCTCCTTATGTTTTAAGCCCATCTTGACAAAGGGTACACAATTATGACAATTTACTCTGGCATTTCAAAATTATCAGCCAGAGATATAATTTTATTTAAAAATTTATACCCCACTCTCCCCTATAAGATATCCAGCATAATATATCCATATTAATTGAACCAAAGACTATTACAATACATACAACACAGCATCCAAATATGTACACATACTGTTGTGCTGTAACTAATATGCAGTTGCATATAAAAACATCCAGAACCACTCACAAGCAAGAAATCCGAAAATATAAAACCCCAGTATAAATAATAAGTACAGTTAAATCAGTTTTAATAAATAAGTAGAATGTATCATTTTACTTAAAACCCTTATCTGAATCACAACGTGGCAGCGCGGCGCAGCGGAGCCAGAAGGACATGAGCCGGAGCTGCGGCTGGCGCGGGGCCACACACCGGGATGAAGTTTGCCGGAAAAAGTCGCTGGAGTAAGACCCGATCTAAGGCGCCAGGAGGTAGAACACCAGGAACGCCAAACGCCGAAAGAATAAGAGCCGCACAACAACAACAGATAGCCCTGCTGCCTGGGTGCCGGTAGGCCGTCACTCCCCCAGATATAATGTGGCCCTAGATAGGTATTAAAGTTGCATGTAAACCGCTCAGAGACCCTTCGGGGTCGGAGCGGTATATAAACTGAAAGTAATAAATAAATAAATAAATAAATAAACAAACTGCTCATCTTCCACAGCACTCCTGAAAAAAGCTGTTACTGATATATATTTTTAAAATTACAAATATAACCTCTAAGTAGAATTGCGTCAAGAATCTTAGTTTTTCTTGAGAAACATTTTAGCAGCTTTCCAGGTTCAGTGAAGGAACATGCATAAAATAAAGTGTTACTCTTCAGTAAATATGTGTTTTGTACCCAGCATTACAATACTTTACTTTTCAATAAGTGTGTACTTTATAACCAGCAGTATAATACAGTACTCTGAAAAGGTGGGATTTTTCCTTTTGTAGCTTCAAAAGTATTTTGTTTTACTTAAGTTCTTTCTTTGGGTACAGGCATCTTGGCACAACACCCTTCCCCGCTCTTGCTAATTCTGCAACTTTGACTAATTGTCATTTATTAAAGTTCATTATATTACATCTGGAAATGGGACAGTGATAATCCTTACACTTCCCAGTCCTTTGCCACTAAGATAATATAAAATTAAATGCTGTCTTATGGTCGAACCTGCATTTGCATTTTTAAATCAGTTTCCTGCTGCTGTGACGCCGACTTAATGTTGTTTGGAGAAGATTCTTTTAAAGCAGTGGGGAGGCGCAATGACAGTGGAGCTGCCAGGAGAAGGTGAGAAACATATGTGGACGTGCGAAAGTATGCTAGCACTGTTGAGGTGTGAAAATGAAACCAAATGTAGACAGCTTTTTTGAAGACGGAGTCAGAAAGCTGGGACACCGGTGGGAAAGACAAATGCAGATTCGACCTTATGACTGCCTTGCAAAACACATGGCCCTTTCTACCCCCACGATAGTTACCATTCCTCTTCTCCTGACACAGCAGAATATTTCATATGCCTGTTCAGGCCAGGAACACCAATGGGGACAACGCTGCAAATGAAATCTCCCCAGCAGAACCCCATTTTAAACGGGATAGCACTATACAGGCTGTGTGTGATGTTTGTCTGGTTAGAGTTATGGGGCCTTAAACTGGAGAAGAGAATGAGCTGGCTACACAATGTTCCTTTAAACAAGTCATAGCATTAGGAAACTGCGGCAAGGCCCATTAAGCTTTCAGCCTCAGAGCTAGTAGATAAAAGTGGGAAATAGAGCACTTATGTGCAGCCTTCATTGCCCATCTCACTGCACTCAGGTTATTGCTAGAAGTTTTGAACTCATCTGTTATGAGGGCCGGATCTGACATAAATGTCACTTTGTTGGGCTGGGCCTTGTGTGCCATAAAATGTAATGCCAGATACCAGAAATATAAACTTTATTAAGGACACAGGCAAATCCAATTAACAATATTATTTTTTTACTTAAAATCCAAACAAAAGCAATCAATTGATTCCTAGCAGTGTAAGCTATTGATTTACTGGGGAACCCAGAAAAGCCCCAATAAACGTATTTAATCATATGCGACTATAAGTTTTTTTCCAGTGGATACCATAAAAAGGGGGGTATCTTACCTTTCCATAAAAATCAGTTATGTTTTTGTATATATGGCACTTTTAGGAAATGAAAAGTGCTGTTGAAGCTGTATTGGAGATTGATATCATTATTGAATATAATAAGACAACCAGAGATTCGAATTTGGGTTGATAAAGAGTTCCATCGAAACGAACAACCACTCGAGATGTTCGTCTTCTTGTTCTTGTTGATGTCATCTTCTGTGGGTGACGTCCTGTGTTTTGAAACATCAAAGAATTAAACATCACGAAGCATCACTGTTACCAAGTTTATTATTGTCTATTTACTGTAATTTGTGAACCTTGCAGCAATTTCTTATCTGTCTATGTTTACTTTTAGGAAATGAGCCATCTTCCTCGCAAGTAAATAAGGTAGTTTTTCAGCACACACACACACACACACACACACACCATACACGCCCACCTTTCAGCAGCTGAGTACAGCTATGATCCTTTTCTCGCTCTTTGTTTCCTCTCTTCCTCTGTCCTACCTCTGAGGATCTCGAGGAGGCACACTGGACTCTGCCCCTCCACTGCCCCATCCCCACCATCAACAACAAACCTGTGAGGTGGGCCAGGCTGAGCAACCAGCCCCAGGTGACCTAGAAGACAGAGTCCTGGCTCAGGAGGAGGGAGGGTCCGAACCTGGCTCTCTCAGATCCGCCCATCTCCAGTTCTCACAGAAATGGTGGGGCTGAGGGCAAGGCCCGATGGAGAAGCCGTTTCCGAAACCTTCAGGAGAAACTTTTTGTCCTCCCATGACCCCTTTTCCCTCACAGGCTGAGAATGGGGTGAGGGGGGCAGAAGCAAGATCGCGGTCTCCCACCCACTCCAACACTCATTCTGCCTCCCGGCTCTGCAGCTGTTCAGACACGTGGTGGCACCAGTGGCGTCCCTTTCCCCCCTTCACTCCTTCCTTAATTTCCAAGGCTGGGACACATCTTTCCCCTCAGAGCAGCATGCACAAGACAGCCCAGTTGCCTCCCAATCCACACACTGGCCCTGGCCCTTCATCAGCAAACCGCTGCTCCGTGCCCTTTCTCTAACTAACCCCCCTCCCAGTCATTGTTTGAGAAAATGCGAAGCTGGTTGGTGTGGCGGCAGCAGTGCCGGCTGTTCAGTTTCACCTCCCCATGTGGTAGCTTCGCCAATCCTCGCTGAGCTGTGGTCAGAGGAGGCGAGAGGAGAACACATCTCCTCTTTCTTCACCTTTGCCGCCATTCCCACCACACAAGGCAAAGCTATGACGAGCATAGCTTTATTCCTTATTTAATAAAGACATGTGGTTGCCTGGAGGCAGTTCTTACTTACCTAAGCGCCAAGGCATACGCTGCTGTTAAGGAAAATCTCCACTATACTGGGAAATCCACAAAAAATTGGAAGCGAAATGAACTCAAGGACAGTCTGACCTCAGAAAAGAACCCACAAGTCTAGATCATCACTGGCAAACGTCAAAAATATCTTATGGTCTCTAAGAAATTTATGAATGGAGAAATTAACTCTATGAATGTGAGCATAAAAGTACATTTGTACTGTTATTGATGCACTATCCCATGATAAGGCTGTCATCAAATTGGAGTCAACCTCTTCTTAGGTCAGTTTGCTATGGTACAAATATCCACTACAGTTGTTTGGACTGGAGTGTAACCAAATATCTGCCATGGCTATTTCGGGTCACAGAGAGGGTAGGACTGCAACTTTTGAAGTATTATGCAATTGTGGAGTGTATGTTATTTATAATTACTGATTTCTGAACAGACTAGCATTAGACCTCCGAAGTTCCAAACAGAGGTCTTTCTGTTCCAGTCTTTTAAACAGATCTTGGAACTTTAAATAATATATTCTACCACTAAACTACAGTCCTGCTTCTAAAGGTCCTGCAACATTCCCCAGGGAACCAAACTGAGGACCCTCATACATGAAAAAGAATCATACTCATAAACCTCATTGCAGAGGCTTATGGTAACAACTATGTATACAAGATTACATGATAACACTTAGGTATATATAAGATTACAAAGAATAAAGCAAAATGGCATAAACATTTGTGGCCATCCATAGTAAGACTCTAGAAAAACTGATACAAAAATATTCTGGACGCATTTGGCTTGCTTGCAATTTACCATTCAGAGCCAGTATGGTTTACAGCATTAGATTAGGTCTAGGCAAACCCAGGTTTAAATCTCCCTGTTGAAGCTGTATTGGATTAAGACCTGTTAGCCTGTGTGCTGTTGAAGCTGTATTGGAGATTGATATCATTATTGAATATAATAAGACAACCAGAGATTCGAATTTGGGTTGATAAAGAGTTCCATCGAAACGAACAACCACTCGAGATGTTCGTCTTCTTGTTCTTGTTGATGTCATCTTCTGTGAGTGACGTCCTGTGTTTTGAAACATCAAAGAATTAAACATCACGAAGCATCACTGTTACCAAGTTTATTATTGTCTATTTACTGTAATTTGTGAACCTTGCAGCAATTTCTTATCTGTCTATGTTTACTTTTAGGAAATGAGCCATCTTCCTCGCAAGTAAATAAGGTAGTTTTTCAGCACACACACACACACACACACACACACACACACACACACACCATACACGCCCACCTTTCAGCAGCTGAGTACAGCTATGATCCTTTTCTCGCTCTTTGTTTCCTCTCTTCCTCTGTCCTACCTCTGAGGATCTCGAGGAGGCACACTGGACTCTGCCCCTCCACTGCCCCA